ACACTAAAGCTCCCCACGAAGTCCCCCCCCCCCCAAAAAAAAAAAACTTTTGAAAGCCTGCTAACATCACTTTTATTGAAATTTCTTTCTCAAAAGTGCATTATAAAGCAAATTTAAAAAAAGCCCCGAATTTACACATTCTAAGGGGCTACCCGTTTCCACACCCCAGCTCCTTCACGAAACCCCCCCCCCCCCCCCCACTTTGAAAAGCCTGATGACATCATTTTAATTTTCGACAAAGAATTACATGAATTTCAATGGCTTTTATTATATTTTCATGCCATGCATACAGGTGAGGGTGGACCAGAATCGACGATTACCTGAGGAATTCTATAGGATCCTATTTATGTGTGTGCAAGGAAATATTTGGATGGAAATTCAGTAATTTGGATTATATTCCTGCCAGACTGAACCGGAGAATGCTGAGACTGAACAAATAGATGTCGGGGTTAGTGAAAGTTGTCTGCAGAGAATTCAGCAATATCACTTGTGATTTTGATGGAGCTCTAAAATAAACTGAGATGGGTCAGGATGGGTTTGAGCTTGGCCAAATCTAAACAACATTGATACACATAGGCCCCTAATTAATATTAAAGTAGTGTAAGGGCCTGGTTTTAATCCACCCTTACCCATCTTAGAATATTGTAGACTCCATTTCACGAAGATTGTTGGGTTGGATATGGACAACTATAAACTTCTTATTCATTTGCGAACACGTCACATCGCGGCAACCTACTTCAAGTGATTGGTACCTGTGTGAGAAGAAACACTCATCAATTTTCAAAAAAGATCCAAAATCCAGAATATCTTCTGTGGTACATTGTAAGTATGGTAAGATATTATTAAACTTACTTTGGAATTCATAACTATTTTCGCCTTGATATCTGATTTCATTTTCATTGAATTACTTTTATTGGTATATTTACCGTGATATTACGGTGGATTTGGTGAAATAAATATTTTATTAAGTTCTTACTGCTTAGAAATACTGTAACACAGCATCGATTTGCACAGTCAATTGAAATACAAAATGAACCAGAAATCGTAAATTCAATGGAATACTGATCTTCCAAAAATATCCTTTATGAAGTTTATGCGATCCGCTTTTTTTTTTTTTTTTAGTATGGTCTTTCCTGACCATGTGCAAATCAATGCCTGCATAATACTGTACCGATACCAATAGATTTGTGCACTAGTACACAATAAAAATAAAACATTGTGTTATTGTTTAAGTAAACTATGCTTTTACGTTATATATGTATCGATTTAATCTGAAATATAGAATAAAAAAACTACGATATATGAAATATTGGCGTATTATTAGGAAAGTAGAATTATTGATATCCTAGCCTTAGATATAGATAATTATGATTAATTGGTAATGGCAGATTAAGTAATTTATGATGATGATGGATGATTGATGATTATCAAAATAATAAATGATAATACAAAAAAGCATAGATCTATAATAGGTGAATTATAAATTTTGTTTAGAGATGAAGATAATATTGCTATCCAAGCATTAGATATGGATAATTATATGATTAATAGGTAATGGCTGATTTAGTAATTGATGATTGAGAATCAGAATAACGACGCAGAAGGCTAGATCTACATTAGGAGAATAAGAGGGCATTCTGTAGAGATTTTGGCATTAGTAATTGACGATGCCTATCATACATACCGATCTAAGAAGAAAAAAACGACGACGGAAAGTCAAAACTAGGACAATGAGAACTTTTGTTTTGGTAGAGGTAGCTAATATATTTGGCATTGCTATTAAACATCATATGTGATGAATAAATTGACCAAGAAATAGAAAGGAAAGGGGTAGTTCTAGTTCTTTGTGCTTAATTGTATCAGTAATTGTATCAGTAATGGTAGGATTGGTATTGGTACAGCATTGTGTAGTTCAATTTGTAGTATCAATTGCAGAATACCCTACCAAGCATCAACAGAATATGTTAGTTTTAGGATTAGCTTCCCTCCTGTCCTGATTAGAGTTAGGGTTAGGGTTATGATTAGGAATAGAAAAAGAGTTAAGATTTTTTTTGCGTGGCGGGGTATTCTGCAGTTGGTCAAAGCAATATTTCATACATTTACTTGCAAAACAAAAACATTTGCAAGACAAAATCATTCAAAGAAGTCTCGCCAATAATTATTTCTTTCAGATCTCCTTATCGGCAGCGAAGTCTCATCAAGATTTGTTTGTTTTTAGATCTCTGTATCGGCAACGAATTCTCGCAAATTATTGTTTTCAGATCTCTGTATCGGAAACAAAGTTTCGCGAATAATTATTGTTTTTAGATCTCTGGTTCGGCAAGAAGTCTCGCCAATTATTATTGTTTTCAGCTCTCTGCATCGGCAACGACGTCTCGCAAATAATTGTTTTCAGATCTCCGTATCAGCAACAATGTTTTGCCAATCATTATTGTTTTCAGATCTTCGTATCGGCAATGCAGTATCGCTAATAACCATTGCTTTCAGATGTCCTTATCGGCAACGAAGTCTCACAAATATTTATTGTTTTCAGATCTCCGTATCGGCAACGAAGTCACGCCAATAATTGTTGTTTTCGGATCTCCTTATCGGCAACGAAGTCAAACCAATATTCATTGTTTTCAGATCTCCGTATCGGCAACGAAGTCTAGCCAATAATTATCGTTTTCAGATCTCCGTTTCGGCAAAGAAGTCTAGCCAATCAATATTGTTTTCAGATCTCTTTATCGGCAACGATGTCTTGCAAGTAATTATTGTTTTCAGATCTCAATACCAGCAACGAATTCTCGCCAATTATTGTTTTCAGATCTCCGTTTCGGCAACGAAGTCTAGCCAATAATTATTGTTTTCAGATCTCTGTATCGGCAACAAAGTTTTGCCAATCATTATTGTTTTCAGATCTCCGTATCGGCGGTGCAGTATCACCAATAATCATTGCTTTCACATGTCCTTATCGGCCATGAACTCACGCCAATAATTATTGTTTTCGGATCTCAATCCAGGCAACGAATTATCGCCAATTATTTTTTTTCAGATCTCCGTTTCGGCAACGAAGTCTAGCCAATAATTATTGTTTTCAGATCTCTGTATCGGCAGTGCAGTATCGCCAATAATCATTGCTTTCAGATGTCCTTATCGGCCATGAAGTCACGCCAATAATCATTGTTTTTAACAGATCTCCTGATCAGCAACGAAGTCTCATCAATATTTATTGTTTTCAGATTTCCGTATCGGCAACGAAGTCACGCCCATAATTATTGTTTTCAGATCTCCGCAATGAAGTTTCGCCTATAATTATTTTTTCAGATCTCTGTATCGGCAAAGACGTCTCGTAAATAATCGTTTTCAGGTCTCCTTATCGGCATCGAAGTCTAATCATTTTTGTTTTTGTTTTCAGATCTCCGTATCGGCAACGAAGTCTTACCATTTTTTTGTTTGTTTTCAGATCTCTGTATCGGCAACGACGTCTCGCAAATAATTGTTTCCAGGTCTCCTTATCGGCAGCGAAGTCTAACCATTTTTGGTTTGTTTTCAGATCTCCGTATCGGCAACGAGGTCACGCCAAAAATTATTGTTTTCAGATCTCCGCAATGAAGTTTCGCCAATAATTATTGTTTTCAGATCTCTGTATCGGCAACGACGTCTCGCAAATAATTGTTTCCAGGTCTCCTTATCGGCAACGAAGTCTAACCATTTTTTTTTCTTCAGATCTCCGTATCGGCAACGAAGTCTAACCATTTTTTTCTTTGTTTTCAGATCTCTGTATCGGCAACGACGTCTCGCAAATAATTGTTTCCAGGTCTCCTTATCGGCAGCGAAGTCTAACCATTTTTTTGTTTGTTTTCAGATCTCCGTATCGGCAACGAAGTCTTTCCATTTTTTTTTTTTTTTCAGATCTCCGTATCGGCAACGACGTCTCGCAAATAATTGTTTCCAGGTCTCCTTATCGGCAGCGAAGTCTAACCATTTTTTTGTTTGTTTTTAGATCTCCGTATCGGCAACGAAGTCACGCCAAAAAATATTGTTTTCAGATCTCCGTAATGAAGTTTCGCCAATAATTATTGTTTTCAGATCTCTGTATCGGCAAGAAGTCTAGCCAATGATTACTGTTTCAGATCTCTGTATCGGCAACGAAGTCTCACCAATATTTATTGTTTTCAGATCTCGTATTGTTTTCAGATCCCCGTACTGAAGTTCGGCCAATAATAATTGTTTTCTGATCTCCGATATAAACGGCAATGGACGTCTCACCAATAAGTATTGTTTTCAGATCTCCGTACAATATATTATCTTAACATTGGAAGTTAAAAATACTTGAAACCGAATACATTTGTAGAGATTATTATATAGACATCATGTTACTATTTGAATTAACGATGCGACGAAAAAGGATAATATTTAAAACAAGGTTATAATTTTTAATGGCAATATTGTTCTTATCTCGGTCTTGTATCCGAGCTGGCAATGTATGTACTATGTAACGATGGAATGTAATGCGAAATACAATAACTAATTAGGCCTAGATGAAGCAAATTGATTTTGCAAAGATAAAAATTCCCCTTATTCTATCATAAGACTGTAACAGATTCGTTACACATATGGATGTAATGGGAAAATACGACGATGGAGAATAGTAGTTGACAGTGAACATATATTTTAATGGGTTACACAGCTACAAATTTGAAAGAAATATGAAGAGCATATAATTGGAATTAAAAACAGGGCGAAGTAATTATGACGACCAATGGAAAGCAAAATACTGTTCAAAAGAAGGGACTGTAATTTGTGGGTGGGTAAACAAATATTATGAATAACTAACTTTATGATGTGATGCAGTTTGAAGAGAGTTCTCGTTCTACAGGTGGAAGGAAGATGAGAGATGAAGATGATCTGACCACGCCACACAATGACGACCACAATGACGAGTACGGTGATGAAGGGATGATGGTGGAGTATTTTACTTTTGATAAAACTAAAATCCTACGGGGGCGCTAGGAGGGGGGGGGGGGGGGGGTTATTTTCCCCAAAGCGACCTAGACAGAATAAGTCAGTTGTAACTCGAAATCTGTTTTCAGATTAGATCCACGTGAAAGTGTAAATATTACTAGCCTTTATATTGCAACGTTCCTCTTTTGGGGACTGTTAGCTTTGCTCAACCAAAGGTTTGTGGTATTGAAATAGAATGCAATTATATGACTAATCATGAGAATACTTTCCGAAATGTCAGCGTATAATGCATGGGCATGAACCCTGAAAGCTCGTCTGAATTTAATTGTAGTATTTCATGGATATGAGGTAAAAATACGGGATGATAACAAGTTTTCTCAACTTTTCCTAAGGCAATAAAGATGAAATTTGTCGCAATTTCGTAACAAATTCAAAAGTATTGGAATGTTGTTTAATCAGTTAGATTGCTGGAAGTGATATAGAACGACTGCCAGGGCTACAACTTATACTATGTGACAAAGACGGCCACCAGACGAACTGAGGCGATGGTGAGTAGAGCAGCTACGACCAGATTTATATAAGCAATATTATTACAATTTTATTATTAGAAGGGGCACTCGTTTTAACAAAGTTTCGGTGTTCTGCTGGTTCGTATTTCCGAAAATGATAACGCGTTCGATCTGTATGTACATTTCATAATTATGTAATTATGCTTTCAATGATCAACCTTCGCAATAAAAAAAAACAATTGGAATTTACACTTCGGATCGATGAAGCTTCAATGAAGCTTCGAATTTAAGAACCTGCAAAAAAAAAATTAATAATATTTTAAAAGTACGTTGTTACGGAAGAGCAAGATAGAGTGGAATATTTTATGTTGTTGCCTCTTTTGAACCAAGAGATTCGTAATGGAGTAATGGTACTGAGATCGAGATTTTTAATCCCGTTTAAGAGCTGTAATTCTAGCTCTTACCTTGTACTATTCTTTATAGATGCTGAATGAACACATAATCAAATTGCATTGCATTTTTATAATTTTACCAGGGGTACGACAACGATGTAGCGAGGAAGGCGACCTACAGGTTGATAGCGACCACGACGGCTACCAAGTTACGACTACGGCGATGGCGACCACGGTGGTAACCAGGTATATATTTAAATAGAGCAAGATTATGGGGAAATAAATGGTCTTATCTAAATAAATGAAACAGCCAGCCTTACTTTATTCTACATATATTCTTTTGTCAAAAGTAAATTTGCAATGTTTGTTTGTTATATACAGTGTATTTGTAAAAATGCTAAAGAAAAAGAAAATCAAACAGAAATAAATAAATCAAATCAAACCAAATCAAATCATTTGCGTGTGGCATTTTAAAATCAGCATTTTGAGACCTACGTAAAGATGTTGTCTTGACCTTTGTTTCTACACTGCTATTCCCGGAAATTTTCTACTTCCTAATTCTAATATTTTCATAGTTGTTTATCAAAGGCTGGTTAACAGAAATAATGCAGGCTTTTAATCCATGTTTGGCAGAAAATTGCAGCCGTTATAGGTCATCATTCTCCATCAGTAAATCACACGTGTTAATTATACAAGATTATAAAATTGTCTATTCGTTTAAATTTTCAGCGAGGGAAAAGGGCGGCGGCCAGGGTGACAACCAGAGCAACGAACAAGATGACGGCAACGATGATCATCAGGATGGAGCCGAGCAGGGCGACGGCATGGACGGCAAAGACGACCGGAGGGACGGCGACCAGGGTGAGCTACGGATAATAATGCATATAGTAAGTATCAAAGTAGTGCTTAGTAACGTTAACATAATTAATGCAGGTCTTTAATCCATGATTGGCAACAAATTGCAGCCGTTATAGTTCATCATTCTCCTCCAGTAAATCACACATGTTAATTATACAAGATTATAAAATTGTCTATTCGTTTAAAGTTTTCAGCGAGGGAAGAAGGGCGGCGGCTGGGGTGACTACCAGGGCGATGGCAACCAGAGCAACGAAAAGGATGACGGCAACGATGATCATCAGGATGGAGCCTACGAGGGCGACGGCAACCGGAACTTGACTTTTGACTGGCGACGACCAGAGGGACGGCGACCAGGGTGATAGCTACGGAGATATATAGTAAGTATTGATATCATGATTCAGTGATTACATAACGATATGAATCCCCTTTTTTGTCTTCATAATTATAGTTTGATATCCTTCGTTGGCAACTTTTCTGACATTTTTAATTTCAAATTATATTTTAACAATTATCTTTGTTGAGTTTCACGTCAACGCCGTGTGCAAAACACCTAATGGGTAGATGACTAGTTGATCTGTTCATCCAATATCTATTCGCTTTTGTTGTCCTGGTGTGGGCTATAGTAATACCTATAACGAGAAAACGGAGCAGCATATTAACACGTAGAACGAATGGGATGTATTTAAATTCTAGTGGTGTTTTTTTTTTTTTGTTGATTGCGTTTTTCTAAGACTGGATGATATTGTACAGCGCAAGTGACAGTGATGATCATATAATCTGGTATCTCTTATTATTTTCCCATAGTTTTATGTACAACAAGATGATATACTACACTTTGTCTCTTCACTGCTAAGACGACGACGAATGAACTTTAATCTTAGCAGCCTCGCAGAGATCACAACTTAAGTCTGCAGATTGAACTCAATGCACGAGGTGGAATGATAAAACACGACATCGCAAGGTAAAGCTGATTGGTATGCTAACATGAGCTACAACAGTACAAGCTAGATGACATTCATGTGAATGACAACAGTGCTCTTCACCACAAAAAAATCTCAACTTTGACGCCCATGAACAATGGAAACTTTGAATCTTGCTCAACCAAGATAATGCCAACAAATTATGTATGAAAGAGGATTCTTCATAATTTATTTACATTGATGTACATTTGTTTTAAGTGAGAGAGAATAAGATTGTATCATGTGCTTTATATTATGGCACTTTGTATGCATTTCATTATTTGGATATTTTGTAAACATAAGAAAATTAATGTATGCCAAGCAAAATGATAGCATATTTTATATACAGATGAAATTTATAAAAAATACTTTTCAGCGTTGATTATCATTTTATATTTGTATATCTATATTTATATGGAAATGTCTTATTTGTCGCAGTAATTTTTTTATATATATTCAAATCTCACTTGCTATGTAGTTCTACCTACCTTCAGTATTGTGTTAGGTGCGCCAACAACATTTTTGTTCTTTAACTTCATTTCCTTAAAACAATACTACTTTCCTAATGACAATATTCTAATAATAATACAGATTTTCTCACACCAATGAATAACCAACAATAAAGCAGCATGACTAATATCACCAGTATGACCCATTATACTGTTGATATATCATACATTCATACTATCCGAGTATAACTCTTTTTGTATAATTTAGTAATGATACTAATTTTACGTAAGATTTACGAATCGCTTTTCCGTATGCCATGGGTATGTGATGTATAATTATTATTGCCTGGTAAGTTACATTACTCTATAACATGTTTTAATCAACGGCGCTTCTAACTAATATTGCTGCTGCTGCTATTTGTATGTTATTAATAATTGTTTTAAACTTTGAAGCACTAAAACTCTAATCAAATGCGCTAATGGCTAATACATAATAAATAGTCTAATGATTTGTGTTATACTCGATTTGTGTATCTTTGAAATGTAAGCATATATATATAAATATATACATTCATATCGTATAACTATATATCTTTTATCCCTAACGTACAATACAACTTGTAATTTAAAACCCTAACTCTAATTATTTCATTGTATGTGTATATATTGCATGTGTTTGTTGTGTCATTCTCTAGTATTATGTTATGTCACATCTCATTCATGTAATCTGTTCATATTGATGTAACATAACTAACTATACAATTCTAACTATACTGTTACTACTTCTACTAATCAACTGTGCTGATATATATATATATTATTGTAACACATGTTTTAGTGATTTGTTTAATATATTTGCTTTGTTACAAATATAATCGTAACTATATGAACTGTACATTTTTCTCCCTTACAGGTACATATACAGTTACTTCTTTAGACACCCTAATAATCTTATTTAATGTATGTGTCTATGTTGTACAGCTGATTTTACAGTATATACCGTTTCACCCTTGATATTTCATTGATGTAATCCTTTTGTATTGCTACAAGTACTATGTTACTGTTCCTATGTTATTTGATGCGTGTACAATTTTGATGATATCAGAATAAAAATATCGTTCACTTATACAATACATGTATAACTGTTATAAATAAATAATCAGATGTATACCTGTTATACTGTTATTACTGTCACGTCTCTATCAAAATTAAATTGCATACAATTATTTTGGAGTATGCTGTTTTCATGTATGGTAATTCTGAAGCCTGTGAATTCTCGGATTTCAAAATGATTTGTGTTGATAATTTTGTTTGTGTAAAGAATATTATGTGATCCATACCATTTCGTTTAACTGCTCTGTCAAATGGTTTTATATCAAGTCAAATTACTTGTGTTATAAAGGTATAAATCAGATGAACCCTTGTCATTGGAATTCTGTGTTAGGTTCTCAATCTTCCTTGTTTAGGTCCTTTGTAGTAATGTGGTATTAATTCATTTTCTTGATATACATAATATTACTTTAAATGGAGTTAAATTTAAAAGAGCACTGGCAGTAACTATGTAAAGGCGCAATCATGACACTGCTAAGTGACATATGAGTTAACATTTATAATTCTTATACGATGCCTATATTGTGTTTTTCAAATTGACGTATGATTATCGTGCTTAAAGACAAAAGATATATTAAAATAAAGAATTCGTGGTTTAAAATCACATTTGTTGACTCACGATTTGTCTTATGATTCTGTCCTAAATGAATTTTATGCACCAGATGTTATCGAAATAAAGTTTAACTGTGTATTACAAACACATAAATTATTACGGTGGTACGATCACAAAAGATATTTACAAGTTTTTTTAGATCTGGGAAACGGAAAATATCAAAGTTCCCGAAACCAAAACGTTGCCCCCAGCTGTTCTGGAAGTAAAGAAAAAGTATCTAATGCCTTCCAGTCTCGATAACTCAGAAGTGCTTGATTCACTTCACCCAAATTCGTGTAGTGTAATTATTTAGTATTGTTTGAATTTGTTTTGAGTCGTCTCATCGTTTCTTTCATACAATGTAACAACACGTTTGACCTTCTTTACCTACTACAGCTTACTTGGTTTCTGAGACTCTCTTGACACTCTCTCTCAACAACCATGGGAACTTCTTTTAGTTTTTAATAAACCATAGACATACTTCTTTCTTCGGACATAATTGGTCCATGCTCTATCAATGCAAACAAAATAAACCCAATTTTAGGGTCGTCTGACCGTTGTGTATAGTGAGAGTGCTTTCTTTTGACCAAGTTTGTTGCATGGGCTAAACTGAGGGTGAAATCCGAATGTGGGTCTGTTCGGGGGGGGGGGGGGGCTCTGTTGGCCAACAACCCTTTTCTCCCACTTAACATATAAGTGGGGACTTGTAGTCCACGGCCTAAGTAATGGGTCAAAGGGGGTCTAATGTAGGCTCTTGGTGCATGTGTGGTGGAGAGAGGATGGAAGAGATTGGAGAAAAATTATAGAGAGTTAAAAAGAGAATGGAGAGAGGGGGAGGAAAAGAGAAAGAACAAGAGAGAGAAAGAGCGCACGCTCGTGTGGGTATGTTTGGGAGAAAGAGACAGTGACAGACGGATAAAACGTGTGTATATGTGTGTGTGTGTGTGTGTGTGTGTGAGAGAGAGAGGGAGAGGGAGGGGTGTGAGAATAGACGATGCAATGTCTCTTTCAGTTTATATGTCTCTCCCCTCCCCCTCTCTCCCCCCTCCCCCTCTCTCTCTCTTCATATGTATCCCCCTCTGTTTAGCTCTCTCTTTCTCTATCTCTTTCTCTTTCTCTCCCCCTCTCTCTTTCTCCCTATCTCTTCCTCTTTCTCCTCTCTCTCTTCCTCTTTCTATATATCTATCTCTCCTTACAATCCTTTTGGCATTCGTATATGGCACGCCTTTAGGGAAACAAATAAATATATGCGACACTTTCAAAAAATATATTTCACTCAAATGTATATATTCGACACTTTCAGAAAATATTTGACAAGTTTTATTTGACAAGAATTTTATTCGACATAAATTTCATTCGACACATTATTCGTCAAAAATTGTATTTGTCAACAAATTTATTCGACAAAAATTTTATTCGACAAAATTTCATTCGACAAAAATTTCATTCGACACAAATTTCATTCGACAAAAATTGTATTCGACAAAAATTTCATTTGACAAAAATTTCATTCGACACAAATTTTATTCGACACAAATTTTATTCGACACAAATTTTATTCGACACAAATTTCATTCGACAAAAATTTCATTCGACACAAATTTTATTCAACCATACATGCGATACTTCACACAACTAAACCTGTACCGTGCACACCCGCGCAACAGGCGCGTTTACGATACGAAGACTATAGATCCACGTCGCGGCCTATAGCCTCTGGTCAATGAACAGTGGGTTTAGATTGTTTGAGGGTGATGAGAGATGAGAAGAGGGAGGGCAAAGTCATGTAGCCTGGATGGTTAGGGGCTTGTTGGAGGGGGGGGGGGGGGGGGGGGGAGGGGGGGGGGGGGGGAGGTACGTGGAAACGAAGTAGGTAATATACACTCCTTTATATTCCAATAACGCCACCCCCACCGCCACCACTATCCCCTATCCATTCAATTCCAGTCTACATCACTATGCCCTCCCTCTTCTCATCATCCTCATGCAAACAATCCTACCCACTGTTAATAATTAATAAAGTAGGTAATATACTCATACATATACTGTATACATACTCTTTTGAAAGCAGGCCATTGAACTTCAATGCAATTCAATGTATTTCTCCACAAATGCCAAACATAGGAAAATACATTAAATCAAATACATACATGCAATAGAACGACTCTAAGTTATGTTTGAAATAGAAACAAATCAGCAAAGGTAGAAAGGGTAGTCGGACTACCCCCCCCCCCCCAATAATAATAACAAATTATACAATCAAAGGTAAATATAAAGTCAAATAATGAGGTGGTACCAATAACGAGAAAGAAGCGGGAGAAAATATCAAAGACGGGGGGGGGGGGGAGTGCTTCCGTGAATGTTTAAAAAAAATAATGATGGCCTTACTTGAGTATCAGGAATAACCTTAACTTAGCCTCAATGAATACAATGATGAACAATTTATATCAGGTGGAACATGACTCCATAACATATAGGCCAATTGAAGGCTTTCCGTTTTTGTAAGAAAGTCTGAGCTATACTTTCATTTCTTGCCATAGAAGAGTTCTGTATAAAAAGGTCATCATAGACAGGTGGCAAGTTGTTATGTTTGTACTGGAACATGAATTGACCGAGCTGCATTAACATTAAAAATATTCATCCGTTTTAATAGGGGTGCAGTATGTGCACAACCCCCCCCCCCCCCCACAAAAGTAGGTCTGTAGATTCAATAACCAGTGTGTCACTTTAACACCCGCACGTGCGTCTTATATACACATGTGTATGTAGAGCTGTTGACTATGGTGGCCCTGAAGGGACATCGCGAATAGACTAAATCGCGAAAAATATGCGATAAAATTCACGATATCGTCAATTTTATCGCATATTTTTCACGAAGAAATTCACGAAATTGACGATATCGTGAACTTTATCGTGAACTTTTCACGATGAAATTGACGATATCGTGAATTTTATCGTGAAAAGTTCACGATATAAAGTTCACGATATCGTCAATTTTATCGTGTACTCTATCGTGTACTCTATCGTGTACTCTCCTGACGGGCGCTTCGTAAACAAAACCAGCCCTAGCTGGGGGAGACAGAGAGAAGGAAAAAAGGGAAAGGGAAAGAGAAGATAAAAGGAAAGAATGAATAATAAGAAGAAAAGAGGGAAACGGGGGGGGGGGCGAAGGGCTCTTGCCTCCTCCTCACTCCCCCCCCCCCCCCCGCCAAAAAATAAATAAGGAGAGAGAGAAGGGAAAGGGAAAGGGAAAGAAAATATAAAAGGAAAGAAAGAAGAGGAAGAAGGAAAGAGGGAAACGGGGGAAGGGCGAAAGGCTCCTACCTCCCCCCCCCCCCGCCAAAAAAAAATAAATAAGAGAGAGAGAGAGAGAGAAGGGAAAGGGAAAGAAAGAAGAGGAATAAGAGGGAAACAGGGGAAGGGCGAAGGGCTCTTGCCTCCTCCCCCCCCCCCCCCCGCCAAAAATAAATAAGAGAGAAGGGAAAGGGAAAGGGAAAGAGAAGATAAAAGGAAAGAAAGAAGAGGAAGAAGAAGAAGAAAGAGCGAAACGGGGGCGAAGGGCTCTTGCATCCCCCCGCCCAAAAAATAAATAAGAGAGAGAGAGAGAGAGAAGGGAAAGGGAAAGAGAATAAAAAAGGAAAGGAAGAAGAATAAGAAGAAAAGAGGGGCTCTTGCCTCCTCCCCCTCCCGCACCAACAAATAAATAGGAGAGAGAGAGAGATAGAGAGAAGGGAAAGGAAAGGGAAAGAAAATATAAAAGGAAAGAAAGAAGAAGACGGAAAGAGGGAAACGGGGGAAGGGCGAAAGGCTCTTACCTCCCCCCCCCCTCCCGCCATAAAGGGAAAGAGAAGGGAGAGGGAAAGAAAATATAAAGGAAAGAAAGAAGAGGAAAAAGAATAAGAAAAGAGGGAAACAGGGGCGAAGGGCTCTTGCCTCCTTTCTTTTCTTTCTTTCTTTTCTTTCTTTCTATTCTCCCTCTTTTTCGTTTTTCTCTTTCTTTCTTCTCTTTCCCTTTCCTTCTCTCTCTCTCTCTTATTTATTTTTTGGCGGGGGGCGGGGGGACGAGGCAAAAGCCCTTTGCCCCCGTTTCCCTCTTTTCTTCTTCTTCCTCTTCTTTCTTTCCTTTTATCTTCTCTTTCCCTTTCCCTTTCCCTTCTCTCTCTCTCTCCGATTTATTTTTTGGTGGGGGGGGGGGGAGGGGGGGGGCAAGAGTCCTTCGCCCTTCCCCCGTTTTCCTCTTTTCTTCTTTCTCCTCTTCTTTCTTTCCTTTTATCTTCTCTTTCCCTTTCCCTTTCCCTTCTCTCTCTCTCTCTGATTTATTTTTTGGCGGGGAGGGGGGGGGGGGGGGAGTGAGGAGGAGGCAAGAGCCCTTCGCCCCCCCCCCGTTTCCCTCTTTTTCTTCTTATTATTCTTTCTTTCCTTTTATCTTCTCTTTCCCTTTCCCTTTTTTCCTTCTCTCTGTCTCCCCCAGCTAGGGCTGGTTTTGTTTACGAAGCGCCCGTCAGGAGAGTACACGATAAAATTGACGATATCGTGAACTTTATATCGTGAACTTTTCACGATAAAATTCACGATATCGTCAATTTCATCGTGAAAAGTTCACGATAAAGTTCACGATATCGTCAATTTCGTGAATTTCTTCGTGAAAAATATGCGATAAAATTGACGATATCGTGAATTTTATCGCATATTTTTCACAATTTAGTCTATTCGCGATGTCCCTTCAGGGCCACCATAGTTGACTGTATAGTTAGGAACTAGAAATAATAAAAACATTTCTTTTTTAAACATCACTTTATTGTTCAAACTTGCACAACAAAGGAGAAGATACAAAAGCCCCGGACAATTTATTAAAAGTACATACAGTGTATAATGTTATATAACATCAACAAAACAAAAGTATAGGATAAATTGATGGCCTGTCTGAGCCAGCTAGCACAGCTACATGTAGCTATGTAGCCGCGCTGCATGCCTAGACTACCTACATGCCGGTGCGTGGGTCCGACCAGAGGCTATAGGCCTTCCTAGTCTTCGTACTGTAAACGCGCCTGTTGTGTAGTTTGCAGGCACAAATCCTGGTCAGTCTTAAAAGAGAGGCTGCACTATAAGACTACCATAGGCCATGTACTATAGCTTCTCCTGACACACCCAGTAGGTAGCTGGGCTAGGCTTCTCTCAAGACACAATTATTTGTTAATAAAGTGTTAAATTAGGGTCTGTGCTTGCAGACTACCTGTTGCGCGCGTGTGTACTACTGCACGGTTCAGGTGGTTGTGTAAAGTATCGCATGTATTCTGGTTGAATAAAATTTGTGTCGAATAAAATTTGTGTCGAATGAAATTTTTGAGACGAATACTTTTTCGTGGCATGCATTATGTATGGAACGCCGAATAGCTCCTTTGTTGAATACATCTTTTTCATTGAATACCTTTATTGTCGAATAAAAAGTAAAATAATTCCTTGGAATAATATTTTTGTAGAACAAAACAAAATGTGCCAAATAAGATTTTGTCGAATGAAATTTTGTCGAATAAAATTTGTGTCGAATAAAATTTTTGTCGAATGAAATTTGTGTCGAATACAATTTGTGTCGAATAAAATTTGTGTCGAATGAAATTTTTGTCGAATGAAATTTTTGTCGAATACAATTTTTTTGTCGAATGAAATTTGTGTCGAATGAAATTTTTGTCGAATGAAATTTTGTCGAATAAAATTTTTGTCGAATAAATTTGTTGACAAATACAATTTTTGACGAACAATGTGTCGAATGAAATTTATGTCGAATAAAATTCTTGTCAAATAAAACTTGTCAAATATTTTCTGAAATTGTCGAATATATACATTTGAGTGAAATATATTTTTTGAAAGTGTCGCATATATTTATTTGTTTCCCTAAAGGCGTGCCAATATGATTACATATACTTCACCCTTGCCAAAACTGAAGTCAGTTTAAATGTCAATTGTAGTGTAAACATGTAAATGTGACCTCTGGTGGTATCGCTTGCTGGAAAAGGTGTCAGTCAAACGCTTTTTTCAATGTACAATGCTAATATAGTTTTCAAATGAGATAAATTTAAGTTAAATATCGGAAAATCAGAGGAACATAGACATAATGATGATGGAATATTTAAATATGGTAGCTACTGTTAGTAGAAAGATAAAAGTATAATAATTAGTTTTTTTAATATGACCAAAATGAGAGTGCTTAAGATTGTTGTATATACGATATGTCTTCTCACAGGTATTTGTTCTAGATTGAATTTGAACTAACTTCAATACCTTTTTTTAGGTACATCACCATCATGACATATTTGAATGACGTCGAGGAAGGGGGTGAGACAGCATTTCCATATGCTGATAATGCAACATACAGCGCTGAGGTAAAGACCTGGGTCCCGTGTTATGAAGAGTTACGATTGATCCGAATCAATCGCAAGTCTTTCAATCAATCGCAAGTTTGCAGTCTCCAATCTCTTTTGTGCATATTTGCAATTGATATCAACTGTTAATGAGACGGGGCTAAGGGGCCTGTGTCATAAGACTTAATTATTGATATCAACTGCCACAAATCTATTACACATTTACTGACAGAAAATTTATGCCACTCCTTTAGTAGTTCAGATCATTGTGAATTACAAGTTTATAACAAACAGAACCCATGAACATCAAACCCGAAACTTCACACCATGCCCTGGTTTTCATGCATCAAGAACTTGCATCTGCAATAATGTAGAGGCTAGATGCTGTTTCTAGTCCACTATTGTGCATTATAATGTACCCAGTTGCCCTTGATTAGAGTTGCGGAATTGAAGCATCGTGATCAGTCCTGATGATAAAGCCGTTAGCGTGATACGTAGTTTTTTCAGCATAAGCCTGTCTTCAGCTTTGGAAAAAAACCTGCAGCTCGTGAAATCTTTCATTGTATTGACTGAAGACAGCTTTACATATTAACTAGCATGTATTTTTGCAACCACTCAAGGCTGAGGTATACCCTTTTTCTTGTTCATTCCACTTTTGGGTTTCATATTAGTTTCGATTTGTAGCAGAGTTAAATTCCCGAAAACATATAAGAACATTTATTATTCTTATGATGAGACACGTTAGAAAGTGCTTGACATGTACTTTGAAGCAATTGACAATAATGATTCACTAGTAAAACTTTCTAACGTTTATAATTCATTCAGGTTGCCGCTGAAAATGAGCCAACCACGACAGATCTGAAGAACCATTGTCATGATGCCAATATGGTAATACACCCTGCCAAGGGCAAGACTGTCATGTGGTATAATCACCTAGTCGACCCGGAAACAGGTATTTCCAGTGGCTTAATGAGCGAAAACTTTGTTGGGGTCAGAACTCATCAAATCTGCATCACCACCAATTAGCATAATGCAGGGGCAGCGGAGCGTCTTCTTAAATAGGGAGACATTGGTATATATACCCCTCCATCGTCATGATGGTGATTACATTACCAGTATTGGTATCAATATTTGTTTCTTTACCTGGTACAAGATACTGCTAATAATTAAGCAAAACAATTTGCATTTGGGTGTAATGGTCTGAATATTAATTTTCGATCGAGCGAAGCGACCGAGCAAATAATTTAAGATTTGTGAGGTCCCAGTGCGAAAAATTACATCTTATAAAGAAGACAAAAAAAAAAAAAAACCCTGATGAGTATTTAGCACAATATAATCAAGAAAGACTAAAAAGCTCTTTTATAAGTAACAAAATTACAACGTTTGTAAATGCGAGCGAGCGTAGCGAGTGAGCTCTAGGTAGAAAAGGGGCTCTAAATCGTCTTAAATTAGGAGTGCGTGTTATGGGGAAAAGAAAGTAGGCACTTATCAAAAGGGAAAAGGACAGTTATTAGAAAAGAGTAGGTGCTCGTATCGAAGTAAAAAGGCAATTATCAGAGATAAAATTGGCACTTCTTGCACCTTAAAGGGAACAGAGATGAAAAAAGGCACATGTGAGAATTTAAATGGGGAATATCATAATGTTGAAGGGAAGAGGTAGCTATCAAATTTTAATAGGTGCATTTATCCGATGTTAAAAAAGGGCATTTTGAAAAGAGGGAGGGGCTCATATGAAAAAGGAAAAGGGGCTCTTATCCGGAGGAAATATGGCACTTATTAAAAAGGAAAAGGGGCACGTGTCAAATAAAAGAGGCTCTTATCAAAGTTGGAAAGTAGCATTTAAGATAAAGGGAAGAGGGTTATTATTAAGAAGGAAAAAGTACACTAATTAAAAAGGAAAAGAGGTACGTGTCAAATTAAAAAAAGGACCAAAATATCAGAGGTTAAAAAGGAAATTTCTCGCACCTGAAAAGACGTAGTCACCAGAAATGAAAAGAGAGGGAGCGGACAATTATTAGAAAAGAAAAGGGGCACTTGTCCTATGTAATAATGGGCTTTTTGGAGGTACCTGAAAAATTGGAGGCACTGTTCCCCCCTCCCCCTCCTAAATCTATTTGGGGGTCGACTGCCCCCCCCCCCCCATCAGTACGCCAGTGGGTATATCTGTTGTACAATTCTAGGAAGGGAACTGCTAGATGTCATTACACATTTTGAAAACGATATTCCTTACAAAAATGGCAATAAAATCAAAAGCCCTCAGAAAAGACTTTCCTACCCAATAAAACAATAGCCAATTGGCGAAATTTCGTTTGACTATAGCGTCTGAACAGAATTTTTTTTTATTCTGTCTTGTGTCACTTTCATCTTCTCCGTCGCATAACATCCTAACTTCTCTTTATATATTAAAACAAATATATATGTGACATTTTCAGGTTGGCTAGGGGCACAGGATAAATATTCTCTACATGGTGGATGTAAAGTAAAGCGTGGAGTCAAGTGGATAGCAAACAACTGGATAGCTGTAGATGACATATACAGTCAGTGAGTTTTCCAACGTATTCCCTTACCTTGCGCGTGTGGTATATCAACGATGATCCCCGATATACTTATTTTTCAGGTTTCCAACAAATCCGAATACATGAGGTGGGTAAGCGCGCGCGCGCGTGTGTGTGTATGCGTGTGCGTGTGCGCGTGCGTGCATGTGGGTTTGTGCAAAATGTCATATTTCGAGTTTTCGCGAAATTCTAGGAGGACCTTTGGTAGGTGCAGCCTAACCTTTTCACTTTTGATATCTTAATTCGCGATCGGGTATGTCAAAACAATTTTTGAGAAATTCATTTTATTGCCATTTTTATTGAACACATTCTTGTTTTGTCCAAAAACGCCTGAATCCGAAACATAAACCTTAGTAAAGAACTTTCGGTTTTCGCAAAAACGATGACATGACAAGTGTTTTCAGACGTCAGCATATTTCGAATAATGACCCCAAAATCAAATTCATTGCCATTTTTCTGAAACATCGAGGTCACCTTTAGGATGCCTGAAAACCTCAAGACACCAAACCGGAACCCAATTAGAGAATATGAGTATTTTTGCCAAAAATAACAACCTTACCCCTTGCAAATTTTGAATTTTGTTTTTCTTCCCAATTTTTTTGGGAAGAGGGGACTCAAGCTCCCTCTTTCCCCCCAAAACCTCGATAATCGCCACTGGAAACAGGTTCAGCAATTGACTTGAAATGAGATTACTGCAATAGTCATCATCATCATTATCAATTGTTATTATTCACAGCAAACTATAACGTATTTATTAAATTTGCGTTTGCAGACAAATGGAGTTTCATAAGAAATTTTGCGAAGCACGCAGTACCAGGATCCAAGCCAGCATTGACAGTACAAAGCGATAGGATGGAAACAGACGCATCCACTGTGGATTCTTCGACAGGCACAAAATCATCCAGTGAAGACATCGATATTGGTTCTTCAGAGACGTCAAACGCAGCTTCAGAAAAAGCCAAGGCACAACGGGAGGGCGCTGTTCAAGATGGAGAGACGCCAGACGGTCTTGTGGATGGGTCACGTGATACAGCTGCAGGACCTGGCGGGTTAAAGGGAGAACTCTGATCCCCGTGTCCCATCCACCCCGTCCCCCACCCCCACCCACCCCAACCCCAACCCCAACCCAACCCCACCCTCTATTCGTTTTTGAGGGATTTTATTGTTTATATTTCATTAGATTGTTTTACCTGACGGCTAAGAAAGCATGTGTATGCTCTTAGGTAAGCAACCAGGGGACCGACGGCTTTAAGTCCTCTCCGGGGACTTGGTAATGAGAATTCATGTCTTACCAAAGGGCACCATAGCGCATCGAATTGGGTTTCGAACCCGGGACATCCCGGTAACAAGATCTCTGCTCTACCATTGAGCCAACTGTGCTTATATTTATTATTTTCAACGTTAATGGGTACGCATAATGCCAAAGAAAATATGATAAGTATACAGTCAGCTTCCAATTAAGCTATATTATGAATTAAATCTGTTTTCTTTTGTTTGGTAGAATCTCAGAAACCCTAGGGCCAAAGCAATTAAGTGATAAAAATATAAAAATTTTTTGCGCTTTATATTAGGTTCATATTTTATTATTGAGTTGTAGAATCTTGGTCAGTGTACACTCCAAACCGATTTTTCTATTTGTTACAAACATTTTGCGTTGCATAAAATCTCTGTCGTATGTAGTGTTTCGTTTTCGCTACATTGTATCAAAAACGTTTGCACCAATGATGTTTTGACTTTATATTCGATTTATCTGCTATTTCATTTAGTTTTGTAGGGTCTCATGAAACTCATGCGCATAGTAAATTATCTATTTAATTAATCTGTCAATCTTTTAGCATTTAATCTAATATTTCTTTTTCTTTTTCAATATTTTTTTTTTTTTTTTTTTTTTTTTTTTTTTTGGGGGGGGGGGGGGTCTCGAAATTTGAAAATTTGACATTTTTTTTCGTTGGGGGGGGGTAAGGTCACCTTTTTTTGGTCAGCCATGGGCATAATTTTTATTTTTTTTATTTTTTTTATAATTAAAAAAAAAAAAAAAAAGGGGGTTTTTAGGGGGTTTACACACATAAAAAATACCAAAGGGGGGAGGGTTAACCCCCACCCCCCCCCCCCCCCTGTGTACGCGCCTGATACAAAGTATTGATTAAGATTCATTGTGTTTGTTAATCATGTTAATCATATTGTATTTTAACAAAAAATAATTTGAAACAAACTTTTTAACGAAGTATGACATGTTTTAACTTGCAAATTATCATGCAATTCAGCCGAGGCTGCGAAATGATGCTCTTAATAAACTGAACTGAACTGACTTTTGTGAGATCGTTTTGTAGTGGTTGCTACAGTTTCATAAAATGCAGTACAATATATTTGTTTAGCTCTATGTTGCCGTTTTTGTCGATGATGCAATATGCATTTTAATTACTAAGAAGATTTAGACACTTTCCTTTATGCCATGAAGATGATTGACGCCTCGATTTTAAGTGTTGAGCTACTTGGTTGCGGAGTCTCCTGTGTATCGTCTGAAAGTTTAAAGGTAAAGACCAGTATTGGAAACGCCCCAATTTCAAAAAATGAAATGGAAGCTCTCATTACCAATCATGTGAAAGAATATGTTTTGACTAATACATGATGATAAAAACTTTGCCGGGAAACCGCCTACTAATTCATATATTTGGTAAATTTGTTTCTCTCATGGTCTGTGAGAGATATAGGGTAGTCCCATATACATCGTTCTGTGTTTAGTGCTTGTAACTTTACTTTACGAAGAATGGGCCAAATTTCTTATCATTTTGATGATTCCAGAACCTTGCAGATGCTAGATGCTAGATGATCAATCTTTTCTGATCGATTCCACAACGTTTCTTTCACAATGCAATTGCAAGACCATAACTGGTCTTTACCTTTAACGTTCGTCCTGAAAAGTGCTGTTGTGCCTTTGGTCTTTCTTACTGCTCGTTTGACATCTTTTAAAGCTTGTCTACATTTAGACTCCGTTTGCAGCAGTCACATCCCAAGTCTGGGAAGTGATGCTGAAGTAACTCAGATTTCTCTTAAGACTGTCCTTGTCACGTTTGCACCTGTGGCGAATCCAGGGGGTGGGGGGGGGGGGGGGGGCAAAAAAGGGGGGAAAGATTATTATTTTTTGCTAATGAAAGCAACAAAAAAAGAAGTTCCTTCCCCGTCCCCCCAAGCCACTGGACGAAATATCTGACGACGTAATTTTCCAAAATCCGGGGCAAAAAACAAAAACAAAATCTGCTCATCTGACCGTGATTAAATGCCTTAGAACCCCTGAGCTTCCGGGGGCTCTGCCCCTAGATTTCACCTAGGGCCCAAAGTCAGGCACACCTGGATGCTCATCTGACAGTAATTTAATGCTTAAAACCCCTGAGCTTCAGGGGGCTCCGCCTCCTGGACCCAACACCAATTTGTGTCCTGCCAGTGTCACAAAAGGGTATCAAAATAATATGCTCATCTGACATTAATTTATTGCCCTAAACTCGTGAGCTTCCGGGGGCTCCGCCCCCGGGACCCCAGGTCAATTTGTAAGCTGCCAGTGTCACAAATAAGGTATAAAAATATGCTCATCTGACAGTAATTTAATGTATAAGACCCCTGAGCTTCTGGGGGCTCCGTCCCCTGGACCCCACACCAATTTATATCCTGCCAGCGTCCCATTAATAAGGTATCAAAATATGCTCATCGGACAGTAATTAAATGTCTAACTGCCTGCCTGAGCTTCTGGGGGCTCCACCCCTTGACCCCCTCCGAGAAATGTTAGCGGGGCCTGCATGTATAAGGGTGGGGTGATGGGTTTTTTTTGTTGTCTACCCCCCCTTCCGCAAACTTTTTTGCCAATGCCGGTGTCACCATTACGTACCAATATTTTGTTTTGCATAATTTCAAATTTGGCCCCCCCCCCCTAAAAATCTTGGATTTGGGCCTGGTTTGCACCGACCTCCTCTGTCTGTTTCTCTTTCTAGTGGTTAGTTCTCCATGCACACACTGACCGGCGTAGACAAATAGGCATTTTATTGAACTTGATTTTTTTTGACAGATTGAAGTATATATATATATATATATATATGATAAACATAAATAATTATATTCATTCAATAGTGTTTTATAGAACATGTTTATAAAAATGACATTTCCACGATACCATTCTGCCTTACCATGAAGGAAACTTAGAAAATGAAGAAATAAATGAAATTCAGCGTGACGAGTTTGAAGAAATATGACATAATAAAGGTTGATAGATGTGCAGTTTTCTTGAAACCAAAAAAGCACTACATTTCCCCCCAGTAATTTTGTCTTCTTCTTCTGGTGGACCAAAGATGTTATTTACAGCAAGGTATGTCTGCTATAAAGTTGGCTAGATGCATACAATATGAAAGATACTAATTATCATTATTTGCTATCAGTAAATGTTTCCCTCTGCGTGTTTTGTGAATACTATTGATCCCGCCCCCCCCCCCCCCCAACTCCGGGGGTGGTATTCTGAACATTGTTGTAAGTTTTGTTTTATCTTTTGTTGTAGTTTTGCCTGACAGTAAATTTGGGAATTTGATTTTTTCCAAGAAACGCATAAAAAGTATAATTTACAAAATAGTGAGGAAAAATCATATTAAAAGTTCAGCAACATTTGTAAGTTACGTTTGAACTTTATTGAGAGGGGGAACTGCCCCCCCCCCCCCAGCCTCCCTCCTCAGTACGCCAGTGCCCCCACAGCAGACTGCCCCACAGTGGCCATACCATCCAACAGAACGAAAAAACACCCCACCTCCCCCCCCCCCCCCCCCTCTTCCGTTTCGTACATTGTAGCATCCAGAAAATTAAACCCATGGTATGTCGATATAATTATGTCACAGAGAAATTAAAGAGCGCCATCTCAAGGTCCGAATTAGAAAGGAACATTTTCGGGCTCGGAAAACAGGACGGTCAATAATATTGTTCATGAAGTGTCTTTAAAAGCCTAGTCTACTCCTGTAAATCACACTAATTAAACGGGTGCAGTTACATTTTTGTTGTTATCGTCATTCATATAAAAAAAAAAGCATGTCTACTATTACACGAGTCGTTTCTGGGGAGGCAAGCGAATCAGATTCGGACGACGAACTGACTGCAGCAGCCGAGCTTGTAGCGGGCCGCAGCCAGTCGTCCATCGGGGAGGAGCTGCGGCAAGCAGGTGTCGTGGTCCAGGCGAGGCTTCGGAAACGGATAGCGAGGAAGATGAAGAAATGCATCTAGCTAGGGCAGAACAACAGCAATTTCCTTCACAGTCAAACATTCCACCGCTGAAAGGTTTGTATGAAAATGAAAACAAAATTAAACTGAACAAGTTTAGCTGGAATTGAAAATGTGTTGCATGTCATGTCACTTGACGAGTCTGGGCTGAGTGAGTAAGTGTAAAACCAAGATGAGAGTGGTGGAGAGGAGAGGGAGCTCGGAGCCCTATGGCTATGTCTACACATCTAACATTTTACGGCGCTAGTGTACTTTTGTATCCATGTTTTTACCATTTTCATATCGATCATTCTTAGCAAAGAAATTGAGCCCAATTTTTTTACTAATTTTAATCATAACCATATCCATACTCCACCTGAATTTGATCACATCCGACATTGGGAAGCCTCAGGTTAGGGCTTCAATGTATTCCTCGTGGAAATTCTCATTTTTAATTACAAGCCCTAACTCCAAAGAACCTCAGGAATGTGAGCACATAATTTCTCCCAAAGTTTGCTTGTACATTACAGTACTTTTCAGAATGTGAGTGAAACATTAAAGTGTTAAAAATTAGGCATGTAATGATTAATGTTTTAAAAAAATGTACACCATGTCCCCTTAGGCG